GTAGTATCCTCAGTGTCCATTATGGTGTCTGGAACAGAGTTGGTCCTTGATAAATATTTTTTACATGGAGATTTTCTGTTAAAAGAAGTTTCTATTTCATATAAGTTAATTTTTCTGTAGTATGAAAGTAAAGTAAATTTGTCGATTATAAGAGAACACAAACCAACACTTTCTTTACATTATTTTAAATGAACAACTATAAGTATTTTCGAAAGTAGAGAAGAAAAATCTTGTGGTGTTTCCATAAAATAAGCAAAAGTAAATTAAAAAAAAATTAAACTATGTTAACATCTTAGAACAAAGAAATGAAAAGGTCTGTGAATTTAAAATACAGTCAAAGACATTTCACTGTGATAGCTAATCATTATTGTTATCCTGTTTGATTTTCTTACCAGCACATGTAAGAGTAGCACTTTTTATGTTTGCATGTGAAATTTTTATTTTGGTGTTTCTCCTGACCAAAATCATTTATTATTCAAGGTGCAATTTCTCTTTGGTTGTATAAACAAGATTTCTGGATAATCATGAGGAAAATAGATACTCCCATATTTATACATCCATATTTATACAGGACTTACCTTTTCTGAGGATTATCTATGCCAAGTATGAGGTATTATTAAATATTGTCTCATTAAAAGACCTAATAAGAATATAATGACCAGTTTGTTTTAAAATACACTAAAGAAAGACAGCAGACAGGGTCTCATGAGAAGTGACATTCTGTAATTACCTCCTCCTATCAAAAGAAAAACAATTCCCAGAAATTAATGAATACAGCAGAGTCTATTTCCTATCTTAATTCTATCTTAATTGCAAAAGCGGATCAATTAAAAAAAAAGACTACACTGGCAGAGCCCCTCTTTTTAAGGGTTGTCTTCCAATTCTCTAGTCATCAAATCAATATATATAAGCATACCGTAAATCTATTTTTACCTTCTGAGATGAGATATACCAACTCCACCAGCAATGCTCCCGTGAAACAACCAAATCCATTGAACAGTGTCAAAAAATTCATAAAAGTTCCTCTGATGGTACGTGGAACAAATCTGTGTGATATCACAAAGACTGAGAGAAAAAAAGATCAGAATTTAGAACATTCTCTCTAACATGCTTTAATAGATACTGTTCAAATTAATGTTGATTATATTTTAAAGAAAGCTTACTAATACAGTTAAAATTTGGGTTGGACTTTGCTAAAATTATATAGCATATATTATGATCTTATAATTTATAGATGTCTACGTGGAGTAAAATATGGCAAAATATATCCTTGTACAGCTACAAGAAAAAATGTGATTACTTGGTGGTTGAGTATCTCAATATATTCATCCGCATTTCACCCTAACTCAAATATTTCTTGTGAATTTTGGATTGCAGTGAGGCTTGTACTAGATGATATCATGGCAATCTATCAACAAGGTCTGTAGTTCTGTGATTCTATGTAAATCATTAGGTTCTCTATAGAAAACTTGAATTTACCATGTAAAATTATCATGGAAATTAAGATCATGGGCTCTGAAGTTAGACAAGATTGTGCTAAAATCCCAGGTCAACTATGTACTACCTCTCTGAATTCAGCTAAGTTATTTAAACTTTCTAAGCCTCGATGTCTTTCTCTATAAAAAAGGAATCATCATTACTCACTTGCAGAGGCACTGTGGCTCCTACTTGCTAAAATATATGTAAATGCATATTATAATACCAACTTATAGGAACTGAATAAGGTTAACTATTTTTAACAATAGTAATCCTACTAAATCAAATAGCTTTTACTTGTTCAAGGCACTGTGCAAAGGCCTTTATGTGCATTTAAATTATCCCATTTAAGGAGAAGATTTCAAAAAAGAGACAATAGCTTAAGCACTGGGTGTCCAAAAGGTTTACCTTTTCCCCACTAAGTCATTGTTGGAGTAATAGTAATGATGGTGGCAAAATGTTGAAAGAAAGTCATGAAGGAAATTTTTTAAAATTTCAATTAAAATTAGTCTTGCTGATGATTTTTTGGATCTGACTCCAAAAGCAGTAACAACAACAACAACAAAAACATAAAAAGCTTCTGCACAGCAAAGGAAACCATTAACAAAATGAAAAAGCAACCTACTGAATGGAAGAAAATATTTGCAAACCACATGACAGATAACAAGTTAATTACTAAAATATATAAAGAACTCATACAATTCAGTAGCAAAAAAAATATCTGATGAAAAAATGGACAGATGATCTGAATAGACATTTTTCGAAAGAAGACATACAGATGATCAACGGGAATGTGAAAAGATCAACATTGCTAGTCTTCAGGGAAATGCAAGTCAAAACCACAACAAGATACCACTTCACACTTGTTAGAATAGCTATGGTCAAAAAGACAAGAAATAATACGTGTTGGTGAGGATGTGGAGAGAAGAGAACCCTAGTGCACTGTTGGTAGGATGTAAATTGGTGCAGCCACTATGCAAAATGGTATGGAGGTTCCTTAAGAATTTTAAAATAGAATTATTATATAACCCAGCAATTCTACTTCTGAGTATTTTTCCAAAGAGAATGAAAACACTAACTCAAAAAGATATATGCACCCCTGCGTTCATTGCAGTATTATTTACAATAGCTAAGATATGGAAACAACCAAAGTGTCCATCAGTGGATGAATGGATAAAGATAAATAGATGTGGGGTGTGTGTGTGTGCGTGTGTGTGCGTGTGTGTGTGTGTGTACAACTCAGTAACAAAAAAGAATAAAATTTTGCCATTTGTTACAACATAGATGGACCTGGAAGGTAATATACTAAGTGAGATAAGTTCAATGAAGAGAGACAATACTGTATAATTTCATTTATGTGTGGAATCTAAAAAACAAAACAAGAAAACAAAACAGAATGGTGGTTGCTGAGGAGAGGAGAGGTGGAGAGGGGGTGGTTGAGTGGAATTGGTAAAGGCTATCAAGAGATATAAACTTCCGATTATAAAATAAATAAGTAATGGGGATATAATGTACAACATGGGGGTCAATAATTTTGTAGTGCATATTTAAAAGTTGCCAAGAGATAAAATCTTAAAATTTCATCACAAAAAACCCCCACCAAAATTTGTAACTCTGTGTGGGAACCAATGGTAAGTAGACTTATTGTGTTGATCGTTTCGCAGTGTATACAATTATTGAATCGGTTTCAGGTTTTACACCATTTTACAGGTTTTAATATAATGTTATATGTCAATTATATCTGGATAAAAAAAGAAAAATTTAATTAAAATAATTTTTATATCAGAAATAGATGAGAATAAGTATATATGATTTTGTACATACCATATTAACATAGCTATATGAAAACATACATGGTAATCTTAGGCATACATACTTAAATATTTATGATATTTATTATAATATGATATCTGGAATTTGCTTCAAAATTATATATCAAAGAGGAGCTGGGTATGAAAATGAGGGTAGAGATGAAATAAGCATGGCCATGAGTCGAAACTTGTTGCAACTGGAACATGGGTACACAGGAATTTATTATATTAATTTCTCTCTCTTTTGTATCTGTGTGGTAAAAAATTCACAAGAAAATACATCCAATAACAGGAAAAATTTTAGCTTTGAGTGGTTGAATTATTGGATTTTTAATTTTTCTTCTTACTCTTTTTACTTTACGAGTTTTTGTTCAATGAGAGATCATAAATAAACATTATAGCTCATTTAAAAAAGAAAAGTAGCGATAGAAAACTGATATACTGTAAACACTAAACCTTTAGTTTCCTTAACTACTTCCTTCTCTCTCAGGAAAATTTCACCCCCGGTTTACCTGTCATACTTTACCCCAGTAAATGTATTTGTCTAGCACTTTTAAACCAACTTACTGATACATAATGTAAATATATTTATGTTCCTTCCTGCATTCAACATTTCTGCTTTGCTTTCTGCATGTCCTTCACGTTTTTATTTATCATCAAATAAACATTGAAAGGCATCTTATGTGCACCCTAGGAAATGTGCTGAGTGCTGGGGCTGGAGGTAGGAAAGGCGTTGGTGCATCTTTCCTGGATTTTAAACTTCGGGAGGGCAGAGAGCAAAGATATGCATAATACTAAGGGCATTGTTAAACAGGCGCTTAATACCACAAATACTTATTGGAGATGAAGATAATGATGGTGATAAATAGAATACTGTGGAGGAGGGCTTCAAATATTGGTGGCAAGGGGCTGTGGGTACCCCAGCTTTCCTGTACAGTGCAAATTACCAGTGGGACCCTGAAGCTAAGCTGCAAGTTTTTTTCAGGAAGATCCAAAGGAGAGTATGAAGGAAATGCTGAAGAGGCTTTGGGAAGAAATGATTCATAGTTATAAAAAGAATTTGGCTTATGAACTTCCCTCTCTATAAATATGAGGAGACAAACAATGGGCAGAAAGACTAAGTAGGCCGATTTCTTTCACCGAGAAAAAGCACAATGTACGAGCCCATTATTACTCTGCTAGTTAATTATTAATCCTATGCTTTTCTCTTGCTAGAACTTCTGGTGCGGTATATAATTCATGAACACACTTTGCCAGCCTCTGCCTGCTGGTTAATCTCTCTTTGGTGTCATTTTAGTCGTTTTGAAAGCCTCCAGTTCCCCTTTATAGGACTTAGCTTTTCAAGTCCTCGGATCTCTGTTTTCAGACATCTTCTTGCATGTTCTGATCTTTTTTGACTTTAGTGATCATAAACTTGATTTTTTAGGCTTCGCGATACTCCTTTTAGCACATTATACTATAGGTATTACCAACAAGTCTGCCACTACTCTAAAATTCTCATTTTACTGTGAAGATGCGGTAAAAAATATTTAAAGTGTATGTAAAGCTGATCTTCTTGCCAATAAGAGCTGAAATGTGCCTCCAGGTGGAGGCTGGTTAGTGTTTGCAGAGAAGCCCCATCACAGTGTATGCAGAATCTACAAACTATGGGGCCATAACCAACTTCCCTGAGGCACCTGATACTGGAGACTCATTGCTGGAAATTGCTCTTATACAGTTAAAATGTGTTTATTATGTTTTGGTGAAAAGTTATTTTGAACATGTGGAGAAGTACCAAAGTCCCAGATGATGGAACTTTATCAGATTATCACTTTCAGATAATTATTTCTTTCTCATGTCTAAAAAGCTTCAGATTAGAATTTCATTTTATCTGATTATATGAGCTAATACTTCTGTTTTGTGCTGTCATCTGCCAATTTGTAGGCCATTTTCTTCTATTTTTCAGTCATCGGCTTCTCTGTTATCGTCACACTCTCTAGTACTACTCCTGCCTTAATTATTGTCAATTTTAATATACATATAGATTATCCTTCCAACCTGTCGTACCTTGTTTTTTTACTTCTTTGACCTCCTCTCCAATGTCCTTGTTCTCCACTCTACCTTAGCCATTCATACGCATGGTCACACCCTGAACCTTATACCCCAGACCAGGGGTTGGCAAACTACGGTTAAGCAAGGTCGAGCCTGACACCTATTTACAAATAAAGTTTTATTAGAACCCAGCCACACACATTCATTATATGCCTATGACTGCATATACACTACAATGACAGAGCTGAGTAACTGCTCTTCAACCATACAAATGCTTGTTTTCCTCCAGGACCTCTACTCCATTGCTCTTTTCATTATTTTCAACTCTTTCATGTCTTTCAAGTCAATGCTACTCTTTTTACTCAAGTTAAGTTCCGTGGTCAATTGTTATAATTATGTTTTTTCACGTACCTCATTTCCTTGACTATCTTTTGCTTTCTGGAACTTTGGCAAACAATTCACTGTCTGCCATCTCTGCTCCTATATCCATGCACCCTAATGTAGCTGAAGAAAAACCCATAACCATGTTAACCAACTCATTTTAAATTCCTGCCCACAAACCTCAAATGACCTCCTAATGATCCCTGATAACATTCTGTATCTCCCTAGTTCATTCATTTTCCCATTGTCTTAGACAACAATTTCATACCTCTCCCATTTCCTCAAACCTCAGCCTTGCTCACAGCTCATGGACTGGCATCCTACTTCAATGAAAAAATTGAGTCATCCAGAAGAGAATTTCCACAGACTCTTCACATCATTATGTATGCACCCATGAGCTTCTGCACCTGCATACTCTGCCTTCCAAACTTTGACCGTTGATGAACTATCCTTGCAACTATCTAACATCAAATTCTGAACTTGTAAGTTTGATCCTAGCTTCTCTTCTTCCAGTATTTCCCCTCTCCCTGAAGCCATTAATTTCTCCTCTCAATTGAATTATTCCCACCAACATACTGTATGAAGCCATTATTTTTCCTTCTTTAAAAAAATACAAATTAAAAAACCCTTTCTTAATTCCATTCCTTTGTCAGCTACTGTTCCATTTCTTTGTTCCCCTTTGCAGCAAAACTCTTCAAATGAATTGTCTCCAATTCTTCTCTTCCCATTATCTTTTCAGCTTATTCTAATCATGCTTTTGTGCATCCCCAAATCCCACATGAAAAAGCTCTTGTCAAAATCACCAGTAACCCCCAAATTACTTAATCCTACAGTCAGTCTTCATCTTTTTCGATCTATCAGCAGTGTTCAACACAGTTAATTGCTCCCTATTCTTTGATACCTTTTCTTCATTTGACTTCTTGGTTTTCTCCTTTTCTCACCAGTCACTTTTTATCTATCTGCTTTGCAAATTTCTCATCTTCTCTAGAATATCTTAATGATGGAGTGACTCAGGGCTCAGTTCTTGAATCTGCCTCTACACTGGCTCCATGTGTGCCCTAATTCCCTTGGTGATGTCAATTAATGCCATTGTTTTAAATTCCATCAATATGCTTATGATTCTCAAATTTGAATCTATCCCCTACTTCAATACCAAATTACAGACTTGGATATCCAGTCCCTAATCAATATCTCTATCTGACATCTCATTTTCAAAATGTCCAAAACTAAACTCATGATTTTCTCTTGAAAGCTTACTTCGCCTGTAACCTTTTATCACTCTATAGATGGCAACTTCATCCTTCCAGTTGCTCAGGTCATAAACTTTGCTGTCATTATCAACAACTCTTTCTCTCTCTCTCTCTTCCCCTACTCCCCCAGTGGTTTTATCTTTAAAGTGTAAATAAACTGACTATTTTTCATGACACATTATGCTATTTCCCTGGTCTGAGTCACTTGTTTGTCTTCCTTGGATTACTGTTTCAGTTAATTTATTCTTTTCCTCACTATAGTATATTTTTTTACAACAGAGAGAGAAATTATTTAAAAGTATAAGTAATATAATGTCACTCCTTTTCTTATTTCACTCAGAGCCCAACCCAAAGTCTCTATAATGGCCACTCTGACTCTTCTCTTACTAGTTTCCCCCTCTCCTCCAACTGCATGAGACCCTTTGCACTTTCTTGCCAAACGCATTTCCATCTTTGAATTTACTGACTTCTCTGCCAGCAATGATTTCTTTCCAGATATCCATGTGGCTGACTCCCTCAACTCTCTCAAACCTTAGCTGAAATGTCACCTCTCATTGAGGCCCACCCTGACCAGTCTCTTAGTGCAACAACCTGCTCTTTTCTATGCTTGACATTCTTAATCTCCCTTATTCTGCTCTACCTTTTCTTTTTCTATAGCACTCATTACCTTCTAAGATGCTCTATAATTTAATTATTTATTACATTTATTGTTTATTATCATTCTCCCTTTGGTATAATGTAAAGTCTACAATGGCAAAATTTTTTTTTAACTGATATGTCTTAAGCACCTGGAGCAATATCAGGCATATTGTAGATACTCACACAGTATTTTTGGAATAAATAAACAAACACAGGTAATGAGAATGCTGGTGTATATACTGCTATAATTAATACATAATTTGAAAAGTTTTTTTAATTTTTTTTCCTGTTTTGTAGATTCTCTCTAGTCTACAGTATGGCTTAGTAGGGTAGGAAAGGTCCATTGAAATTAGGGGAGTGATCCACTGTGCTTCCTTGCTTCATGCCATTATGTAGGGTATTGTCAGTAATTTGAATGATATATTTTTATCATATTCTCTATATAGAGATAACTATAGATATCATTTGTTCATTTATTTATTCAATTAAAACATATTATTGATCATCGACCCCGTGCATGCACTTTTTAGAAAGGAAAAACACAGAAAAATATAAGAATGAACAAGAAGGATAAGAATCTTGACTTCAAGACTGTACATTCTCATGATGAGAGTCAGGCAATAAACAAACACATATAAATAAGATAATCTCAGATTCTGACAAGCGCTATTTAAAAAATAAAAGAACAGGGTAATGGACTGGAAAGTGTTAAAATGACCAGGTAAACCTCTCTGAATAGATGACTTTTGAGAAGAAGCCAGCCACTTGAAAACAGAGGAGAGGAGATTCTAGGTAGAGAGAAGAGCAAGTTCAAAGGCCTCGGGGCAAAAATAAGTTTGACACCTTAGAAACACAGAATAAAGATCATCAAATTTCTAGTGAACTGATCAAGGGGAAAAATGTTATAAAATGTGGCTGGAGTCGTACAGAGTTCAAATCATGAGGAGTCTTATTCAGCGTTTAAGGAATTTATATCCAAAATCCTATTGTGGAATTTTAAGCAGAGAAATTATAGGACTTATGTATTGGAAAGAGGATGATAGCTATTTTCAAGAGAATGGACTCATAGAACAGGAGAGGTAGCAGGGAACCAAGTTAGGAGACTCTGATGGAACTGGGGCTAGAGACTAGGCAAATAGCAAAGGAGACAGTGAGACAGCCATATTTAGATTATATTTCAAAGTAAAGACTAAGACTTGCTGTTGGATTAGAGGTGAAAAAATAAGAGGAAAAGATGATCTAGGATGATTCATGTCAGAAAGTTATGATTCTGCTCATACTACCAGGTCTCCTTGCATTTGAGTTGTGGTAGGTATGGTAGAAAAAACTTGAGCTGTGCCTGAGCCCTGAGTTTGAGTCTGCTACTATTAATTTACGTGAAAGATGATGATGATGATAATGATGGTGGTGATGATGATGATAACAACGGCACACATTATAGCTACTAATTCTTGAGTGCTGTCTATATACTAGACATTTTGTCCTTTACATAAAATATTTCAGATATTCCTTAAAACAACCTCCCCCCATTTTCTAGATGGTAGGAACGGCTCAGAAATGCAGAATTATTTTGCCAAGGATAAAAGCTAGTCAATGGCAGAACTGGGTTTGAACTTAGATATATCTGACTTTAAGACCACAGATATTAACCACTATAGTGCACTGCTTCCCAGAAGAGTAATTCTTGATTTTACAGTTCAAAACACCCTTTCACATTTTATGTCATTTAATTCTCAAGGAGTAGTTCCCATTTCCATTGATTCTTACACTGATGCTGTGATATAAGGAAGAATTACAATTATTTCCATTTTAAATACCAGAAAAGTGACGTTAAATGAATTCTCAAGGTCACACATATAGTGACAAAGCTGGAAATTAAAACAAAGTTTTCTGGTCTCTACCCTATGACCAGTGAATAAGTCAATTGACTTAGTTGGACCTCAGTTTCTTGATGGAAAAATCAGGGAAAAATGGACTAAGTTATTTATATCACATAATCTGCCTTTCAACAGCCTATGGTTGTAGGTAACTCTCTAGCTTTTCTATGTTGAACCACTATTGCTAAGTTGGTGGGGAATTTCCTGACTGGATTCATCACCTTCCTTCATTATCTAAATTACAAAATTTTGGCTGACTTCTTCCAATAAATTTCTGGAAACAGCATCAGAGAAGTTGCAAATATTTGTGTACTGGCAATCTTTTATGCTTCATTTGTATACCTAGTAGTGTCAAAAAGTGATAGCCATATCTTAAAATCTCATAAAATAATTTATTCCTATAAAAATATTTGGAATGACGATTTAAAATCATAAAAATGAAGTCTAACACATATATATGACTATAATTATATAAACTTAATTAATTTTATTTTGACTTTTCTATGAATTGTTTTGATATAATATATATATGTGTATGTATATATTTTTATTAAATATATATTTAAGGGATTTGGTAATAACTGAATATAATAGAATATTTCATACAAGAATGGAATGGTTAGAATTGCCATTTAGGATGAATACTCTAAAGGTTATGTGCTGAGAAGACAGAATGTGAGATACTGATGATAAGAGGTTAGTTAGAAAGTTATAAAAATAATCTCAGTAAAGCATAATTGTGCTTGAGTTACAATCAGGTCTCCAAATGGAGGGAAATATAAAGAAGGGAGAAATACAAGATGTAATACACTATACTGACAAATATATACATACCCACATTACTTATTGTTTAAGTTACTGAAATATTTTGATGAATTTTAAAATGATTAGTTTAATATCAGCAATCTAGACAATCCAGAAAACCCTTGATATTTAATGAAGTTGTTTTGAACTTGTATTATGAAACACTAGTGATTGCGTTTAATTTAGTGTAATTTAATTTAAAGACTGAGTTATCTGGAAAATTGCTTTAAATTTTCATTTCATGTGCATGTTCATAGACTCCCATTACAAATCTCACTTTTGGAGGGAATACGTATGTGAGTTTATCTATGAGCAAGAGGAGAACAGAGAATGTAAAAGAGAAGAAGAGATTTTCTTTTGAATATATTGGAGTTTTCTTCCAGGTTTAGCAGAATTTTTTCCTCCTCTCATGTATTTGACCAAATGGTTACTGCCTTTAACAAGGTTAGTAAATCTTTCATTTCATCTACATTGAGGTAGAATTAATAATTGTTCTGTATGTGATAGAGGAAGGAAGTAAAATTAAACATAAAAAAAAAATGAGAGTGATAAATAGGTTTGTTCTGAAACATGGGGAATTTCCAGGGATTGAATAGATTGCCAGCCATTTGAGGCGGTGTGTTCTGTGCGGAAACACAATATGTTTTAAAATGAAGTGATAAAAATGTTACTCACAGGCTGGGTTGACCAGTGTTTCAGCTACTCCAAGTAAAACGTACTGAAGAACCAAGTAGAAACGGCATGGAGAAAACGGTGAAGACTTTGCCTAAAAGAGGCTGCTCCACTGAAGGGAAATGTTTTCTGTGTATTTCAAAGAAGCCAGCTATCATCACAGAAAATGCAGCAGAAAGATTTCCGGCAACTGAAGGGAAAGAATGCAAAAGAAAAACTTTTTTACAAGAGCCCCAAATCAGTGTAAGTGACATAGAATTTCTTACAAGTTGACTCTAGGTCTGTTTCCTAGATATTTTTTATTTTTTACTTTCCTTTTGCCCTGAGGATATCCAGGTGCCAATTACAATGCTGAATGGCTACCCTTTGCTTAGGCTCTGGTAGGCGTGAATACATGTGACTCCCCATTTCCTGACTTACTGGTTATGCGACTTCAGACAAGTTATTTAACCTCATTATCACTTTCCTCAACACTAAGATAAAGTTAATGATGCTTACTTTGTAGGGTGGCTATGAGATTTAAATAAGATAATCTAGTGGTAATTATAACAGTTTCTGGTAGCAATTAGTAGCAATTGTTATTAAGATAATAAAGCATATGAATTTTTAATACTCAGATAAAAAATATGTCATTCTTGATAATTTTTTTTAGATATATAGGAATCAAAAATGATATGGGGGAAATTTAAAATAAAATGATGTCTTTATAAGGTTTTAATCATTATTTTTAAAAAGGTTTTTAAAATAACCCATAAGCATTATCAGTCTTCAGTCGTCTGACATTTCGCTAATCTTTGCAGAAAAAGTAAAGTAGCTATGAGAGAATTAAAGACTAGAAACTTTTGTTTAGGAAAAAAAAATATTAAAGGTGAATTAGCTAGGTGAAGAGTATAAATGGAAGCAATTATTCAGATAGTGGTCCAGTTCTTCTCTTCCTTTTACTTTTAAGAAATTATCTAGGAAATTTTGGTTGAAAATGAGTAGAGATTTTGTTATAGTTTTGTTGCAGTTTATATCTACTGCAGCTATCCAATTCTCAATTTATCATTCATATTACTGGACTTAATTCCATCGTTAGAGCAGAGGCAAACTTTAGCTTGATGGAATTTACTTGAAATTTAGAGATAGTCACATTTTGCCAACTTGCATAAAATTTCAGATAAGGCAAAGCTTTCAACTAAAAAAAAAAATCAATCTAATGTTTAAATAGCTTAGTGTTTGTTTTGGTTGATAGAGAAACTGGTAGATAAATTTTTTGATTATATCTCAGCATTTAAATGTATCCATAAAGTCTGCTCTTTACTGAGTCCTCAAGAAATAGGAAGCATATAAAGGAAATCTGAATAACAGTTAGAACATATGAGGGATTATTTATTTATTATTATTTTAAATTAAGTTCTACAAAGGCTTATTTATAGTAAAGTAGAGGTTTTGGTTTTGTAAATAGCTTAAATTAAAAAACCTGAATTTCAACATTATCTATCTTTAGATCAAATTTATCATATAATTGTATTTATCTGTATTACTTATTATATTATAGACTCATCAGAAAGAGAGCTAATATGTCGATTCAATTTAATATTTACTCTGTTTCTGCTGTATGCAAGGCAGTATGCTAGGTACAGTTGGGAGAAATAAGATAAAAAAAATCTGTTCTAAGTCGCTGCAGGCTCATATTCTATTGGTGAACATAAGAAGAACTTATTTCTAGTTGGAGAGGTGAGAGAAATCATTTTATGCTTTAAAGGCAAAAGGGTTTCAATATAAAGAGGTGAAGGCAGCATAAATCGCATGAGCAAAAGCAGAATTGTGGAAGTGTCAGACAAAATTTCAGGATGGTGAGAAAGTTAAGTTATTAGAAAACAGGGGAGAAAATAGATTGGGGTCAGATCATAAGAGGCATTTAATATATTCTTAGGATTTTTGAAATTACTTTGAAGATAATGGAATCATTGAAGAATTTAGACAAAAGTGAAATGATTAGAATTGTCATTTAAAATTACTACTCTAAAGGCCATGTGCTGGTTGATAGAATGGGAGAGATATTGGAAGTTGGAAGATAGTTAGGAAGTTAAAAAAGAATCTAGGTAAAGTTTGATGGAGGCTTGAGCTATAACCAGGTAACCCACTTCCAGAAAATAGAGAGGTTAGAAATGTAAGATGCAATAGATTTCACTGGTAAAACCATAGCATCTGAAACAAGGGACAAGGAGGAAGCAGATGTCAATGTTAACTGAGTCCAGGTGAATGGGAATTTGGTAGTGACAACAATATAAATAAGACCTGTAATAGACATAGAAAAAAAAAATTTGATTCTGAGTCAAGTTAGAGGTATAAAGAGAAGTGCTCAGAAAACAATTAAAAAGGTGAACTATAAGTCAGAAGAATGATTGAGTCAAGAAACATTAAAGAATCATCTACACACAGTTGGAATTTAGGGTCAGATGAAATTGAAAAATGATTGGGGAAGGAAAGAACAAAACGTCTAAACAATGCATTCAAATATTTGCACTTGGAAGCAAGAAAAAAAAGTAAAACCATTGAAAGAAAGGTGAGAAAGATAAGGAATGTCTAAGGGAAGGTTTCAAAGTGGAGGATACACAAAACAGAACTTTTGGTCTTTCCCCCTAATTCTTCTCTTTCACTCTTCCCCATCTGCTCCAGTACCTTCATGGGCTCAAGGCAGAAATCGAGGGTCCCTTCTTTTTTCCTCTATCTTCAAATATATTATTAAATTCTCCAGATTTTATTTCCAAAATACATTATAAATTAACTCACTTCTTTCTGTAGCCATTGCCATCATTCTAATCTGAATTTCATAATTTTTAACTCAGACTATGTGCAGCAGTGTATTATCTGGTCTTTCTGTTTCTTCTTGCCTACCTCTAACCTATTAAACACTTAACAGTCAAGGTGATCTTATATAAATGCAGATTCAATGTTACTTTTCTGCTTAAATTCCTTCTGTGGGTTTCCATACAGTTAAGATGAAATTTAAAATCCTTAACATGGCCTGTGTGATTTTGCCTGTTCTTTTTATTTCACTTTAATTGCTGTTACTTTCTCTTCTCTGCCATGGTTCCTGGTAGCAATTAGTAGCTTATTATTATTATGGTTGAAAAGACCTTCACCATGGCGCAAAAACATGACATTTTAGAGTGTCATAGATAGAGTGAAGAACATTCTAGTTAGAACATGTGGTCATAGACACAGGAATGAGCATCAGAAGTTTACTGGGCTTCTCAGTAGTCATTCAAGTTCCTGGATGACATTAGAGCAATAGCTGTAAAATTATGAAGAAAAATGATTTTCAAACTAGAATTCTATGTACACTAATTAATCAAGGGCAAGAATAAAAGGAAGACTTTTCAGTCATATGAGTTCTTGGAAAAATATACTTCTCATGTACCTTTTCTTAGGAAGTTGCTAAAAAAATAAATGGTAATAATACAGGGAGTACACTGAGAAAGAGGAAGAGAAGTAAGTTAGAGATCTAACAGAAGAAAGCACCATGCAGCATATCTAGAAGGCCATGTTGAGATGGAGAACAAGGACATGGAAATCTGCAAAGACGTAGAAGTCTGCAAGGATGTGGAAGTCTGTAAGGACATGGAAGTCTGCAAGATTTCCAGAAGAGGAGCCTTTGGTACATTACCGTATATATTTTAGCACTGGGGAAAAGCTAGCGGTAGTATGGAAAAACTGTTAAAGCAGTTTGAAAATTTAAGAAAAACATTTTAAAATTAAATAATTGAAAAAAATCATATACTTTTAAGTACAGGAAATAAAATTTTATTGCAATGAGTTATATGTATATAACTGATTACTGATTTAAATAAAATATCCTTACAATCGTTTTATTTATTAACTTAAACAAACAACACCTAAATATTTAAAAATGATTTGCCTCTGGGAACTATGGCTTGATTGTAGAGAAAGTGAGGCTAGAGACCGTTACTTAATTGTTAGAAGGCTTTAGCATTATTTGTTTTCTTCAATCTAAGATGCATTCAACTATAAGAAGAAACACATTTTTTATGTATTATTGAGAAAGGAAAAAAATGTTGCCAATCCATCATAATATATGACCAAAATTTTACAGATGACTTTATATTTGTGTGTGTGTTTCTATAATCTAAATCATATTCCCTTAAAATTCATAAGTTGAAGTCCTGACTCCCAATGTGACTTTGAAGATGGGGCCTATAAAAAGATAATTAGGGATAAATGAGGTCATAAGTTTGGGGCCCTAATTCAATATGACTGGTGTCTTTAAAAGAAGGAGAAAAGATACAAGGTTTGTGCATGCACAAAGGAAAGGCCATTTCAGAACATGATGAGAAGATGGCCACTTGCAAGTCAAAGATAAGGAGTCTTGAGAAAAAAATCAAAGCTGCCTGTACCTGGACTTTTACCAACCGGAACTGTGAGAAGTAAATTTCTGTTGTTTAAGGCACTTAATCTGTGGTGTCTTGATAAGGTGGTCCTAATAAACTAACACAGGTATGCTTAGGTATTACATAAAGATTAAGTTGATCAAATTGCACAAATTATATTGTCCATGATTATTATACAAACTTTAAAGAAATTTTTGAGGTGGGTAGGAATAAGTTTTCAAACTTTCTTTGCTTTCTTATTTAAGAATTTAAATTCTATGAGAAACTTCTATGATACCCCTCATTCTAACTAATTTAGGGTAATCTAGATAAAAACATGGCCACCACCACCGCTCTTTTTCTTGGTTATCGCCTTTGCTATGTAAAAAAAGCTTAAATTTTATCCAGGAAAGTTTATAGCATTAGAGGCAATAGTTTAGACAAGAGATCAGCAATATTTTTTTCTATAAAAGGACAGTAATAAGTATTTTAGTCTTTGTGAGACAAAGGCAAAATTTTGATATGTTTGTATTTATGTAACAAGAGATAGAATAAATTTTTACAATTTTTTGGATGAAATTCAAAATAATTCTTTTGAGGTGATACAATTTCATTTAATTTGTGTTCAAAATTATTGTTTTTATTTATTTTTTTGTCATCAAATCAATTGAAAATGTTTATCTGTTGAAATAATTCTTAGCTTGCAGGCAGTACAAAAACCAACAGTGGGCCAGATTTGGCCCATGAGTGCAATGGTTGGCCAAACCGTGGCGTAGTCGTTAGCTTTTATTGTCTACTCTTGACTTTTAGCTCTGACCTGATGAGAAGTTGTGGCATTTTTACCTGGACCACAGCTGCCTGTATATAGGCATGAAATGTGAGGAAACAATCTTTTGGCCTCTTCTTCTGCCCTTGATACTCAAAGTGTGGTCCCTTACCAGTTGCATGGATATCACCTGGGAGCTTGCTAGCCATGCAGAATCTCAAGCTCCACCCTAGGACTGAATCAGATCTGCATTTAAACAAGAGCCCTAGAAGATTACTATACACATCAAACTTTGAGAAGTACGACTTAGACAGAGATTTTGAGAACCTATCTAGCAAAATCTAATGAAAGACAGTTCTCCAGAGAATTTCAAGCAAAGCACAAATATTTAACCCATTTATCTAGACATTGTAGGGTAAGGTGTATTTTACCTGAAGGATTTGGATAACTACATTTGCTTTTTATTTGCTATTGCACTCTGGTGCCAGTGAAAAATGACTTTTTGAAATTCAAAACAAAGTTCGATTCCAACCTAAATTTAATATGCTCCATTTTTATTCTTAACTTCTGTGAGGTCATAACTCGTCCAAAGCAGAGTACAGTTTATCAGAATGTACACATTTTAAACCTCTAGCAGACCTGTATTTACAAGATAAAGCATGTGGTGCCAAAGGAGATATTATATTCAGATAAATAATGTATGTTTTAATACTGGCTGTGTGAATGTAAACAAGTCCATATGATTCTTGAAGCTCTTATAGTTTATTCTGTTATTTTGTCATGTAATAATTTTCCAAATTAGACCACAATGAAATAAAGTCAGAATTTATTCAAATATTAAAGTTGCACCTACCATTTTATTCTGAAGCAAAATCTCATACTGAAAAATAGATATTTTAAGATTCTTCAGTTATTGGCTAAGTTTACTCACTGAGAAAACTATGAGGTTTTACGGGTAGTCTAATGTGTAAAGTCTTTGATATGTAACACAACCATAAGTATGAAATTCCATTGAGCCCTTGAGAAACTGCCCTTGGAACCATGATTTTGGCAATTTCCCAGATAGGAAATTTGCTCATGTGAGAACATACTAGTTTTCACAAACTACTCTCATGAAGACAGCTATAACGTTATTGTCATACGTATCTGCTGCTTTTGAGGAAGATATTTCTCGCCTGCTATTAGAATGGTATATTTTTTTTCTTGTATTGTTTCTCTGATTAGTGTTATGTTACTCTGTTTGAACTGAGCTATTCATATTCTGTCTTTTGTTTCTCTTTAAACTACTGGAACTCATTTCAGGAGATTCAGTTTCAGTTGTGTTAAATTTCTGAGCATGGAACAGGTAATTAATTTACATAGAGATCAGATACATAAACATGTCAGGCATCAATTATTGTTTCAGATGCTGTACTAAATGATCTACTTCACCTCAACTTTAATTCCAATGTTGATGTCAACCCTAAAAATAAGAACCTAAGAACATTAAGGTGTTTATATTAATAAATGAACAATTGAACGAATGAATATTCAAGCTAGATATTTAAACCACTTCTTTCAGTGTTTGCGCAGTTCCTCCTATCAGGTATTTTGCAATGAGTTATACACTGTGATACTTCCTGGAAAGATCTGTCGGTTCTAAAACTGTAATAGAGAAAAAGAATTTGTGCTGAAATAATCTTTTTTTTTTTTTTTTTTTGATGAAGGTAATTGGATCCCCGACTCGGTTTTTAATTTATAAAGCACTTTGGTTTTACCAAAAAAGAAATTTTGTATCACTACCAATTATTAGAACTAGTAGAAGTTACTGGTTATGTAAAAAGGGCCCAATACCTTGTCTGTACCTATATCATAAAGAACTTTGAGTTAGAATTTGAATTTTTTTAAGTTTTTTTTAAAGAGGAAGATCTGGCAGATATTTGATTGTACTTCATCTGCATTTTAATTTAAATGTCATTTAAAAGCCAAGATAATTGCTCCTACTGTGTTGTACACTTCTGCTTTGTGTAAGGCTTAATAACAATCTTAATTAAGCTAATTTTAGTCAGATTAATACTTGTGTATGTCAGCACTAACTACTAAATGCCACATACTGCAGGATTTTAATTAATGCTAAAGAAAGGAAATACTCATCATATAAACATTTTTTAACTGAAAAAGACTAAAATGAAGTATGTCCAATTATGATGTATGGATAAATCATAATATCACTGATTTTAACTTTTTGGTGAATTAAGGTTGACTTTTAAATACATAAATCTGCTCATCTGTAATGTTAGAAAAAATACAGTCCTGATAAAACACTCTGAGCATATCACACCTTTGCCTTTCAGAGCTCTACAGAGAGATTTACAGATTCTTTTAAAATTGGTACTGTGATGTACTTCTTGATTTCTTTAGGTGTTTAACTCAAGAATGTTATATCTTGAATCAGAAACTCCCGATTTTGTTGCATTGTTTGTGGGCTAGATTAAAAGAGTAAGTTTATTTTTTCCTTTATTAAATTTTTAGTTTGACCAACTGAATGAGATTTCCCATCGCTTTCTCCTGGCCTGGGCTGTGATTATTCATGTCCATCACTAGGCATCGGCATTGTCTGCACCATCTGCCTCCTTAAACATGACAGTCCCTGGAAGAAGAATGACCGAATGTGGAAGGGAGTGGAGGAGGCTAAGGAGTAACTGCCCATGGTGGTGACAAAAGAATTTTTTTATTCGCTTCAGAGCCTTATTGGAAATAAGAGTAAGGATTCCAAATTAACACCAATAGTTTAACTTCTGTAATCTTACAGCTATGTATAGCTGGTAAGTGGAATAATAATTAATAATAACAATAGCAACAACAACAACAACAATAATATAATAGCCTAGAATTAGAAAACCTAAATTTAAATGACACATTATCTTTGAGGTCCTTGGCCTATTAAATGCTGGTTTATCATGAGACTAAATGGGATATGTATATGAAGGTGCCTAGGTTCAAATTAAGAACTCATAAATATTTGTTCATAATTTGTATACTAATCTATATTCTATAAATCTCTCACATTTTCAAGGCACTTGAGTTCAAAGTGAAAGGAATTTTTATATTAGACTAATTGAGTTATGTAAATAACTATCAAAAAAGTACCCTAGGTTTGTGCTTATATATCTTGATAAAAATCTTCCATAATCATAAACAGGTTATGGAAAACTTAAGCAAATATCTAGTTTAAAAGATGCAGATTATCATACTTTTTAAATATTTCCATAGCAAAATATTATGCAAATAAATGAACAAGTATGTAAATGAACAAATGAATAAAGTCTGGTTTAGAAACTACTGATTCAGTATTCTGCACTCAGAGGAACATAGCTCGGTTTTTAAAATGAGTCTAGTTTTTCCTTTTTGCTGCCCAACAAATCCGTTATCAGTCTTGAAGGGGATTATTTAGTTCATTGACATCAAACAATATATTAGATAACTCTATCTAACTTTCCTCTATCTAGAAAAAAAATCATACCTTTCTTTAAGAATACCCATGATTTTAAATATGCAAGACTAGAGAATTGTCTGTCAGAAAGTGGCTTATATTTAAAATGAGTTTAAGATTTCTTGTTCTCTGGAAGGATTTCTAATGTTCTTTTAGCCATGTTGTATTGCATATTTCTCTAAAGTAGCCCAATTTAAGGGTTTTTTTTTTTTTGTAAAATTAAGCATAATTTGGAAGCTCAGACTGGATTTTTATAGTACTATACATGACTGCCAAAGTTTTTGGCATTTTGCCATATAAATTTACCCCCATTTTGTCCTGCATTCATTCTGTTTTATTCTGTTTTATTTATTTTTAAAATGTATTTATTTATTTTTTATGGTGACATTGGTATCATTCTGTTTTAGTAGTGTAGTTATAGAGGGCATGTACAATGTCTTACTTTTCGTTATCTTCAAATAATGCCAGACATTTATTAAGTACTGGCTTTGGGAATTGTACAAACTGACAAACAAAGAAGCACTTTTTAAGATTTAAGGATTGTCAAAAACCTATTAATATTTATAGTTTGCCTAAATGTATTACAATAAATAATGTCGGGGTTACTGGCTTAAGAAATAAATCAAAAAAGGTTATGTACTAAAGACCTGTACAACTGAAGATGACAAAATAAACTAAGCTGAGTTTAATCACTTTGGGTTCTTTTCAAAAACAAATCTACCCCTTGATGTGATCTAGAGTGATCTTGGCTTTGGTAAATAACAGGAAACACATACTAAAGTGTAACTTTATAAACGGAGAAACAGCAAAAAATATAATAATGGATTACTAGAAGACTGCATGGTCTCCACAGATCTCTGAAAAGGAGAAATTAAGAATAAAACAAGTTAACAAAGCAAAGAGAATCTTGAAATGCCTGCCCCTAACTATTTTAATGGAATTATTTCTCAAGTAGACAATAAAATATCAGGTTACCATTACATGATATTTCTTAAGAGTTTCGAACTCCATTTGCTTTCTATTTATGCCCACCAAACAATTAGACACCTCCCTTATAAGTGATGACTCAGTACTAGCTAATATTTATAGAGCTTTCCCTATGTGTCAGGAATATGCTGCAGACATTGATGTCATCCTGAATGATTTCAAAAGTTTTACAAAACAGAGGGACCCAAAATTTATCTAGAGTGTGCTCCACAATGAAAAGCTATTTTGGGGGAGTCAAAATCAGACTTTTATTAGAGCATATAGCCAGCTCAGATCTTAGCAGAGTGGGCTTTTTAAAAAATATTTTAAAACATTGCAAACAATTTACTTGAGATGGTAAGTGGTACTTACTAATGCACACCAATGGAAATGGTCCATCTCTCTTAGAGGGAATTAGGAAGGTGCTGAAATATTCTATACAAGGAGCCAGAATTAATAGTGGTATGATGCTGATAACATTCATTACTGAAATTGGCAGAAGAAACCCATCCAAATTCAGGTTGGAATTCATGGTCTGCACATAATATCCTGAGGGAATCTGTATTTGAAAAGGGAAAGGAACCATGCATTAAGACACTGGTTTGAGTTTGGGGAAAAATATCCTGCAGCAGATGCCTTGTCCCTTGTACATACTCTGTGACAGATGAGCTGGATGTTCCCCAGGTCTTCAAGGTCCCAATTATGAGCTGACAAAGGGCAGTGGGAGCTCTGTTTTGTCAACAGAAAACAGTACTGATTCTTTATGGAGGAATCTTTTGTCATCTAGTATATTTTCCCATGAAAAGTAAAAGTGATCCTAATTTTGTGCTTAGGATGACAAATAAGAAATAAGTTTTGTATTTAACTTATTTTTGAATAATAAAGTAAAAACCAGTAGAAAGTATTAAGGATGTTTGTTTGTTTTCACCCTGATGAAAAGAATCTTGGACTAGAATACATCCTTTAAATAGCATCTAGTTTAGTGGCATGATTTTTTTCTTAAGAAGAAGGGCAGAAACACATTACTTGTTGGAGACTGTCTTAGTGGGCTCCCTGAATTGGCCTCATTTACAACATGAGCCAAGCAACATGTTATAGAAAAAAAGAGAGAAGTATCTGTGTTTATACTGTCCTTTAAATTAATTGTGTGGCACTGGAGGACCAAAAAGGGAACTACATGAAAAAGTTTGCATAATAAAGTAGCAGATAAAAAAATGAAAAAAACCCAAAAAACAGAAAACAAAAACCCTCAACCTTCTGCCTCACTCCAAACCCTCAATGTTATGTCAGAATTTCTTCATTTTTAAAATAACCCTAATACTAACTAAAACTCTAACCCTAACTTGGAGCCTCTACATGTATTCTAACCCTCTTGTGAGGTTACTACATCAGAACTGAAGTGCGCTGTCACAGAAAAGGGGGCCTTTCCTTACTTTTCTAGTTTATGAGTTTTGTTGGAATAATCACACCTTTATCATTATCATCAGCAGCATAGAGTATTTCTTAATTCCCAGTGGCTCACAAAGCTACTAAGTGGCTTGGAAAGAGAGTCAACCCGAGTCTTGTCCTTGAGGAATTGGACTCTCCAATTTTTCTTATAGTGCATGAACTGCATTAGGATTGCTGCTTTCCCACCATCTTAGGAGAGCAGCTTTGCTCAAACATCCAGAGGACAACTTCTCGTTTGAAATCTTTACTAACCCCTTCTCTATTATAGGTTGTGTAATTTGAGAGGGTATAGGAAAAGCAGAATCATAAGTCAGTACAGCTGCTAATGGGCCCACCAATTGTAACAGGAGCTTATTGCTGTCTTAACTGCTTAAACCCAGGAATGGGCCACATTTTCACTGAGATTTTTTTTTTTCTATCTATGTAAAATATGTCCTGGTGATAATTGACCTTCAATCTTTAATTTAACTCTTGGGATTGTAAACTAGCGTTGTTTTGGTTGGGTACAGATGACACTAGTGAAGGAAACATTAGCTGGTTTCGCCCAAGTTCAATAAAGTTATTAAGCACGTATTACCCAATTGGAGGAAAATGAATGATGTTTTTTCAGAAAAAGTGCTGGCAGCAGAACTACCGTAAGACTGAAAGGCTCCCAGCACAACTTGGAAGTTTCTGTTACTGATTTCAAATGAGAATTATTGTTAATAGGAATAAAGTTATTATCGGCATGAATCACAGACACAGAAACCTGTTAACTTAATAATGTGGCGAATGTACTATTAATCTTTAGTGAAGCAATATTCATATATTGCCTAGTCTAAGAAAAGGCTCTAGTGTCTTGAAAGCTTGAAATCATTTCTGCTTCTGCCTCAAGTTCTAAAATCACTCCCTTTAAAAATTTTAAATACTTTTATTTCACACAAGCCTCTGAGTATTCAGAAATAATTGCTGTCAATAGAGATTCATTTTCACTTTTGAATGACCAGTAATGTCAAATGGCAACATCATCAACCTTAATATCAACATATTTTAAATGTATGTCTTGGAATTGAAGGTCAATAATGGCTACTAAATTTAAAATATGGAATTCTATGATGTTTTATTCTAGGTACTTAGATTGCCTTTATACTGGTGATTATTTCATCTGGAGGCAAAAATCTATTTTTAGCCTATCCCAGTGGAAGTTTCCTTTGCCTCTCTTGAGAAGTACACTCTAACCATTTTCTTTGAAGTTTCTGGTAAACATGACTGTACGTAATTTTGGAATGTATACTGTATTGGGGTTTTCCACTCAGCTGAAAGGGAGGCATTTCAGGTAATAGCAAAGCATGGGCATTGATACCAGCCCTGAGTTGGAATGGCCGCTCTGCCATATAGTAGTAGAATGACTTAAAGCAAGTTGCAAGTAATTTAATGTCTCTGAGCCTAAGATTTAGAATGATAATATCAGCCATGTGGGCTTACTGTGGAGATTACATTAGATACTGTGAAGTCTTTTTGAAGCTTTGACACATATAGTTGATCGATAAGTTAGTTTTTGTTCTTTGCAATAAACTGGGCATCTAGATTTGGTAAGATGAATAAAAATTAGTTTATCAAAATTTATTGTATTTTATGTCAGATTAAAAAATATGTGACATTTTTCAGAGAAGGCTCAGTCGAAAGAAATATCAAGTGTCACTAAATAACGAAGATAAAGAATCAGTAATTTGTGATATTTACAAAGATTCAAGGCTAGCTATGGATTACTTAATAATTTTGTACTCATTAATTTCTTCATTCTAAGATGCTTTTATGATAATTATCATATATATGGGTAATATTTTTGTGTTTTTGTGCCAGCTATTGTTGTGGAGTCAGGAGGGAGGTCGAATCTGCTAAATCAGCCTAGCTTTCTTACACTATTTAAAGCAAGAGCAGCAAATTTTTCTGTAAAGGACTGGATAGAAAATATTTCCACATATGGATTCTATTGCAACTACTTAATTCTGCTGTTTTAATGCAGAAGTAGACATAGTATGACAAACAAATGAGAGTGGTTGTGTTCCAATAAAACTTTATTTATGGAAACTGAATTTGAAATTTTAATTAATTTTCATGAGCCACGAAATATTTTTCTTTAGATTTTTTTTCAGCCACATAGAAATGTAAAAACTTTCTTTGCAGATATACCAAAAAAAAAAAAAGGCAGTGGCTGGATTTGGACTTCAGGCTGCAAGTTGCTGACCCTAGGTTTAGAGAAGCAAGCATTGTACTAAAAGTCAGAAGGTTGATTCTGCTTTTCCTTTACTACTGTTAACTGTATGACCTGCCTACCCCTCCAATATCACTTAATTTTTCCGAGCCTTAGTTTCCTCTTCAACAACAGCTCTATTGTTCTATGATATATCAATACAACTCACTCATTAGCTATCTAAGCTCTAAGTTGGGAGTTAGCAACGAGGATAGTCCCAAATTTCTTTAAAGACTTTTATAATTATTTGATGTAAGAAGAATAAATGAAGAAATAATATTTCTTCATAAGTAAGTTAGTCTTTGAGCATTACCACATTACATTTTTTTTTTAATCATGTATATTTATAAAGGGCACTTTGGTCTTGGCATATTTCATCTGATTTCTCCACAGCATAGGGAACGATGCACCAAGGAACTAAGAGTGGGTGGGGAGAGAATCACTTGCTCATTAGTACTTATACTCAGGAGTACAGTGGAGGTGGTACTCAAATCAGTCGTTTTAGCTCCTTGTTAGTACCAGCTTTTAAAGGCTTAATGAAGGAGGAAGGCAAAACCTTTGGCTAAAGGGAGGTGGGGTAATTGCTCATAGATCTCATATTTTCATGGGCTGCTCTTATAACTATGCACTCTGCAGTACTGTCTGCACCTACTGATAGATATGTATAGTTCTACAGGAGAAACAGCATACCCAGATTCTCCTCAGGTGTGTCTCTGCCTGACTCCACTTAGTTCTTGAAATTAGAGACTGTAATGATTAGAGCATTTATAGGATAACTGCCTGATGAAATGTATGGGAAGCACTTTTGTTGGGATGAAAATAAGCATTTATTTATAAAGGTAACGTACAATTATTTTATTGTTGTTGGGGGTAGTGTTAATTATTCTTTCTTACCTGCATAATGCATATATTGTATAGCAGTTGAAAAATGAAAAGAGGGAGAAAGGTGAAGAAAAATTTTGTGACTTCCACATGCAGCTCAGTGTAGCAGCCACCATTTTTTTTCTCGGCATGGTCTAACCAGCTCATCACATTTCTGTGAAGATGGCAGTATTGCAGAAAGCGTGTTTTCAGGGCATTAACAAACACCCCAAAGGTTGTCAGGAGGAAACAACCTGTAAATAATTGGAGATATTATGCATTAGTAAAGGAATTCCTCTTCAGTTTTCTGAAATGTCAATCAGAAAGATGACAATCGTAAGGACGAAGGGCAGTAAAGTGATTGAGAAAGTTTTAGCACCCAAGGGGTTGAATTCAAAGGAACAAGCTCTGACAAGGTTTCTGGCATTCTGGTGACCAGCCCAAGGTGGTGCCTGACAGCTGATGTAAAAAATGAAAAAAGTAAGATCAATGGGAACATGTTAAAAAGGGAAGAAAGGAGACAAAACACCAAAGTAAAATTTTAGAATCTCTCAGAAGTCTTTAACTTTAACTCATTAATGAACAAAACAACCTGAACTTTCTTTTACAGCCTTAACACAAAGAACTGGTACTATTTTTAAATATAAAATATTATATAAATAATCCTCACTTGTCATGTAGAAGGTGGTTTCTTATTTTGACATGGAGATAAAGGGAAATGTGTTCTCTGCTTTGACTTTATCCTTGAATTTCAGACATAAGGTTAAACTCTGAACTCTTCAAATGACTTTATACATGTTGACAGTGTCACTAAAAGTTCGGATTGGATTAGTTTGCTTTTGACTTTTCCAGTAGTTTCTTCTGGGTTTTATATGGCTGTCGTTTTAGCATCAGAAGCATTTCCTTCCTTTAGATGTTTGCACTCACTGACTGCTAATGATTTGCAACATCATTGTTGCTTCTTTTATGATCTTTCAGATTCCACCTTTTCTTTGACTCCATTAGGACTTCCTGATACAATGACAGATAAGATACCCACATTTAGTTAACAGTTCAGTTGTGACATCCTGATTGTTACAATTTTTTATAGAACCCCTTTGACCAGATAATTCTTCTACAAATTACATAGACAAAAAATCATAGTTTTAGGATAAATTGTAAAATAAATGTGAAAATGTTTGATTTTTCCAAAGAAGTCTGCTATAGAAACTCAGTGTAGTTTGGTTGTCATTTTAATTATGCTCAAGTTTCCTAGAAAATTCTAGGTGAAATGCATTCTAGCCAAGTTCATTTAAATATCATAAAGTTTTAGATTTTATATTTAAATAAAGAATATTTATTAATATTTCTTTTTATGGTTACAGAATGATTATATTGATTTGATCTGGTCTTTTCTTAAGAGTTATAATAGACCTATTATGTCAGTCTTTGATTAATTGAGGAAGCTGGGGGCCTGGTAATTGAATATGGAGCCTTTCACCTTTAAGTCACTGAATCAAATCCAGCCCAAATTGGTAGTGATCAAGAATGATTATAGCAGTAGCTCTTTGGTGGCTTTGAGGTCAAGTGGAAGTATGTTGGGATAATTTCTGACAGGGAGATGGGCTCATATCTATCTATAGTCATTACTGCTTCTTTTTAGTCATTATTTCCATATACAAATAAAAGGCCCAGGAACTGAGAAGGCCAAGGGGACAGAAGCACCTGTGAGTGGCCAAGGTTTGTGTTTCTTAGAAAAGAAGTAATAAGGACATGTCTTGATTATTGCAGGAAGAACTGCTCTATTGTGAGACTTTCCTAGCTATTTCAATTAGTTTCCTTAATGTTTTAGTAAGATGAGAACTAAGAATGTCTTGATGAACAGTCTAGAGACCAAATTTGAACAGGTCTGGGCTAGGAGGTTTAACTCTCTGACATTTCCTTATTATTTTGTCTCTGTTACTTATCAGCCTGTTCTCTGCTCAACTCTTGCAAAACAGTGCTATATAGATAGTAGGATTATTAGTAGCATTGATCCATCTTATTCTATGCTTTCAAATAGGCTTTATTATTAAATGATAATTACTTCCAGGATGAAAGACTATTTCCAAAGATATTCCCCTCAATTTTCTTCCTATATTTCAAATTCAGAGACTTTATTGAATATGACATGTTTTAAACTCACTATTCCTTTTTTTTTTGTATAAACAAATCACTATTTGTTGCAAAATAAATTTGGATCTACTCTTATGCATGATAAATTGATACTTGCAATTTTATTAAACAGTTAAATATCACTATCATATTATTTCTACAGAGAGGTAGCTTAGATTAGTGCATCTTAAACTAGCTATGATAAAATATCATTTTTTTAATTTCTCAACTATCGTGGTCAATACATTTGTGAAATACAATAAAAATGAAATACAACAAGAATAAAATAAGAAACAAAAACATACAGAATATAAGTCCTAATTTTTTTTATTATTAGATTCAACAGATATAAACTATAACTTTCCATAAATACTTTTACATGTTTTCTTTCAGTGTCTGTATTTATTTTGTTGCATACCAGTAACAATTTATTGGCCAAAACTGATCCATGGATCAGGCCTGGAGTATGGCTGACTTCAAATGAACAAACCCTTTGAAAAACAATTTATTTAAACAAGTAAAATTGTATCTGATGTGGTGATATGAAACAATAAAAACAAAATGGTTAAGAACAAGAAATGGTTAAGCATGAATGAGGTCTAAAATTTTAACCGGCACTATGAGTGCTCATAATTGACATCAAACAAATATTTCTAGGCCTTGAGAATATAACAGTAAACAAGACCCACAAATCCCTGAGTTTTCTTTCTGGTGGGGATGACACTAAACAAGCAAGAAAATGTTAGGCAAGTTCAACAATGAAAACGAAATGGACTGATAAGGTAGAGATGCAT